AACATCGTTGATGTATTCGCTGCAATACTCTTCAAATGTTATGCCAAGAGCAATTGTGCAACTGGTAGATTAGATCCGCTCGTTCGATTTTAAAGATTATTTTTTGCTGACGCGCGTTTGTATAATCCCTCCATTTGTCAGAATTTCCATTGGCCAAATAAAATAGTGGACATGCGAGTGATTTAATTCACGCATGCTCAGTTTCATTCTTTACGCGACGAAGGCTGGGAATGGTGGATAGTCGAGAACATAGAGTAATGCACACTACTAGGTAAAACAATATTCATACACAACATTTGTACTTATTATTTTGTGCTACGGATTGCTTTTAATACTGTATATGTTATGGTACAAACATTTTGTCAAGATTGAATGAAAATAAGTCTCCATGCATTTCTATATGTACGCCAAATAAATCCATCTTCCTTTCACTGCGACGATATGAATCGGCATCTTCAATAATTGTTTTTTTTTTCTCAGATTTTGTTTTCAATATTTGCCGACCATGTACATTTCCCTGATACGTTGAAATAAATTAATCAAATTGCCTACTCAAAATATCAATATTCAATATCAATGATTCGAAAACCGTTGTATCTACCTTCGGTGGATTTGTTTCTCGTGATGTATGAAGAAACAAACTTTAACATATCTATTAGCCTACAGAGTTTGGTATATTATGTAGTATTTAAATTAAACTTGTGGAAACCCACAATGTCAGTTCAATTGAATTTAGTTGTAAATTGGTGTAGTGGAATCTTTCTTTCAAACTGCATTAGCATTACTTACTTACAACACTTATGTTTATCGCCATGACTTAATATGAGGTTATTGGGAGGATACCTCACAGTATGCACGAAGACAGTACAGTGGGAGCCGTGTCTGTTTTTATTATTAGAGGACGGTTACACGCGTAATCATTCCATATTTAGGATTGGCATTTCTTATATGGTAGGATGAAAATACCCCGTAAAATACCGCAAAATTACGACACGCTGTAACGTATGGCGTTACGGTGACAGACGTATAATAATATCTTAGGACAAGACATTAATAGGTGAATCTCCACAAACTGAATGTGGATTTTCATAGACGTACCACACCCATCTTTCTTTTCTCACTTGTCACAGCCACTAGCCGCTAAGCGAATCATCTTATTCCAATAGTGCACGAAGTTTCCCACCTACCCAGACATTTTACTAGTCATAGAATTATGGAGATGTATTCATCAACATTGTATTACACGTCACATCTTCTTTTATTTTGAGGACTAGATATTCGATATTTATTTTGTAAAATACAAAATAAAAACAAACGTGCAGAAATCATACACAGCATATTCGAAGAAGTGTCATAGAAAATGAAATATATAGTAAAAACAGTGAAATAAATTTTAAAAAATGCAATGGAATGAATTAAAAGATAAATTGAGAACACCTTATTCAGAATAGAGGAATAGCGAGGCAAAATAAATTAAATTTGCCATATATGCCTTCATTGCTAAACGAGCTTGTTGCATTTACCATTGACTGCTGGAAGTAAGGGTTTTACATATTAAATGAGTTTTATATTTTGAAAAGAAACTGCCGATCAGTCATAAATCAAACTGTACGCGTACACAGGTGGTTGCAAGCTGCCTGTAGACATTTTGTATTTATACCGATTACGTTTTCCCTGATTACAACTCACCTATGTCGCATATGTTGATATTGTTCGACAGATTGCAATTTTTCAAGCAGAATCGTACAACGATGGCGGAAGATCCAGTAGATGCGGTTATAAAACTAGAACGATGTTGAAGAAATGTCACGGGAAATATGTTTCCACTTGACTGACATCAGCACTCATATGTTCAC